AGATAGGGAGCTCTAGTGGCCTACAGGTAAGAAGCTGTGCTGCACTCCCCAAAACACAGTTTTAATCCACCAGCTGCTCTGCAGAAGGATAGGCAATCGTCTCCCATGCAATTTACTGCCTCTGAAAACTTGCTGGAGGGCCGGCTATGTATGGGTCAGTTCCAGCTCAGCAGGACTGAACAACAAGAGATGAGATAGAAGACAGATATTCCTTATATTCTCCATCCCTCCATGAGAGAGGTACATGGAGGAAGCATTAGTAATAATAACATACCTCACCCCTAATTTTAACTTCAAGGAGCTCTGATGGCATAGTTTGTAGTGGATTTTGCTACTAACAAAAAAAAAATGTCATCTCTATTGGTTCAAATCCACCCGCTCTTTCACAGGAGAAAGATGGGAAATGTCTTTTCATTTTGAATTACAGCCTTGGAAACTTGTTGAAGGGTTGTTGTTGGTTGGAACTAATTCAGTGACAGTGAATTTGAGGGTCTAGTTTTGTTTTTCCAATTACAACTTTATACTCCTTCTATTTAAAAATTGGCATAATGGCTCTATGTACAGAGAAATATAGTGAGAAAAATGCAAGCTTCTTAACTGAAAAATAGCAACATAAAGAGGGGCAGAGAAAATAGAAATCAGTCAAAACAACTTCAATTAGATTTTCACTTATGGAAAATAGCACAAATGCTAATGTGATTCTCAGTCAATACTGAAAAATAATGTGACTGCTTGACTTTCCTATTTGTTTTTCTCAAAATAGAACTCATTGTATGAGAAGCTCACTTTCTATTTAATGGGCTTCAAGATAAGATGTTATAGAAATAAAATAGATCAGGGCCTTGTATACATTGTAAAAGACTAAAAAAAATATCCATAAATATTCTTTCTCCCATGGGACAGTCAATATGGTTACAGTGCACAAGAGAATGCTGAAAACCAGGGTTTGGATATTCAAATAACACTAGAGACCCACTGCATTTTGAATGTCATTAGCTTCATACTGGGTCTGTATAGGGACTCCACAAATAACCAGGAATATGTACTTGATCACCAGCAATGAGGGAAAATGGGAACAAGAAGCCAATATGCCTAATCTGAAAGAGTTCCTGTTCAATTTCACAAGTACTAAGACTTCAGTCATTAGATAGCCAGATTTGGCCTGGGTTGAGAATTTCCTCTGAGAAGTACCTCAGTTTTAGCATGTTAATCAACAAAGCCATTAAATGGTGGCCTGGGGGGGTGGGGGAGGACACACACTTAAAAGAATGAGCACTAAACAATGACACACTCTTAAGCCCTTCTGAGAGAGTCAGCTGCTCACGCAGACCTACTTCTTGAATATTCTTTGTGTTGCCAATCCAAAGGCAGGCAGCTTGAACCCAGCAGTGAGAAAGACAAGTAATCTGGTCCTGTGTGATTTACTGCCTCTGAAAATTCACCAAGGGCAACTAGGAGTCAGTTCTGCCTGGGTGATACACCACTCATCTACCACTCATCTCCCAGTTAGCCCTGCTTGGTGGCTCTCACGTTGCTAACATGCTGGAGGGCCTGGTACCAGCATGTCATTTACTGACAGGATAACCATGCTGAATGGATTTCAGGAGTGCTTCCAGACTAAGACAAATTAGGAATAAAGGCCTGGTAAATAACTTCCAAAGATTAACTAGTAAAAACCCAAAGAATACTCACTTACTCTTCTCCCCACTTCCACTGGACACATCAGTGAGAGGGATGGTCACTGGAGAAGGAGGTCATCTTTGGAGAAGCAGATGGCCAGCTAGGGTGAGGGGAGCCCTAGGTCAGACAGATTCACACAACTATCACAAGGGCCTTGAGCATACCTGCAGTTTTGCAGGACCCACAATTATCGTCAGTTACACTGTTCAATGGTGACTAACAACAACCTGAACATTAGCACTTATTCTTTTACCAAAACTGAGGGGAAAATGAGACCCTAGACCAGTCCCTGTCTTACCACATTCCTTGTTTCTGCTACAATAGTCTTAAAGATGAGGAGAATCTATGGCAGGTATTGGAAAAATGATTGTGAAATAATGCTAATATTATGCCAGCTGGCATTCATATTACCGGGAAGGCTCCAGAAAAAGACAAACACAAAACACACACCAAAGGAAAGTAAAGCATTTACCATCTTCTGTGCTTAGTGGCTCTTGGGGATCTCGTGGGGCAGAAGGCCACTTTTGCATAGCTGTGTGGTGTAGGACTGGCCTCAGTGCTCTCAAACGTGCCTGCAGAAGATACAGCACCCCCATCTCATCGTCCTCCTCAGAAGGTGCCTCCTGGTAGCGGGCGGCAGAGGGCACTGGGGACTCCGGGACATGGTGTGGGTGTGTGGAGGTCTTGGCTAAACCCTTCGCCACTGGCCTCTGAGCAGCATATGCACTGAGGGCTGCAATCAAGTTCTGTCTGTCCAGGCCACTGTCCGCCTTAGGGCTGAGCTCATCCAGCTGGAGTGGGCCGAAAGTCCGCTGAGGCAGATCCTCGGGGTAGCTGGCTTGAGATAGTGGAGGGTAGGTCAGCGCTGAACTACTTCCTTTGGAGGTTTGAGCCACATAGGTCAGGATACTCTCCGAAAGGGGGTCATCACTCTGGAAGGGCCAGAAACACAAAGGCAAGACCAAAGTTGAATCTCCAGCCATCACCAAACTGCATTAAAATGGCTCTAATGCAACACTCTGAGGCCTGAAACAGCACCAGATATTTGAAATGTAGATCTCAAATATGCAAAATGATTTTTATTCCACTGGTTAAATTTTATTTACATTTTAAAAATAATAGTTTTAATTAGATATAATGAATTTACCACAAAAACTAATCCTTTTAAAGCACAAGACTTTTACTATAGTCAGAGAGTATCACCACTATCTAAATAAAAAATATTTACATCAGCCTAAAAAGACACCCCGTACTCCTCTCCAATCTCCTCTACCCTTGGTCTCTGGTCACAAATGAACTTTTCTTTGTATTTATTATTTATTTTCTTTGTATCTATTGATTTGCTTATTCTAAGCATGTCATATAAATGGAATTAAATAATATGTGGTCTTTGGCATCTAGCTTCCTTCACATGGCATGTATTTTGCTTCATCTATGTTTCGATTCTACACGTGTTGGAGTCAGTGAGACTGGCTCAGGACAGGGCAGGGTTCAGGGCTGTTGTTATTCAGAGGGTCACTGTAAGTCACAGGCAACTCAATAGAGAGCACATAACAATAATAACACATAACACATGTTTTAACATGTGGCATTCCTATGTATAATGATGGGAAACCCTGGTAGACTACTGAGTAAGAAGTTGAGCTGCCAACCCAAAGGTGTGTATCCACCATTATGAGAGAAAAATGGGCAATCTCTTCATGGGCAATTTACAGTCTCTGAAAACCTGCTTGATGATCAGTTATAAGTTAGTTCTGACTAGATGGAACATAACAACATACATGGTGAAAGAAATGCTTAAGATTGTACATAAAATTTTGTTTATTCATTAATCATTTTATTGGTTTGTATATAGTAATTCTTTTGTACTATGTTTTATTCATGTACATTAGATTTTATATAATCTTTCATATACATTGTGTTTCATACAATATTCATATACATTGCATTTTTTATAATTGTTGTTGTTGTTAAGTGCTGTCGAGTCTTAGGCGACTCATAACAACCCTCTGAACAAAAGACCTAAACACTTTTATGACTTTCATCCTTTCTCCAGGTTCATAGAGTTTCCAGAGGCAAACTATTACGGAAGTGGATACCACTCGTGCTTCCAGGCTTGTTTTATTCGGGGCCCTCCACCAAACACTGTCCACGATGGGTAACCATTATAGCAGTTGACACATCAGTGTCACAGTGTTCAGCATCACAGTAATCACAAATTACCTCTGTACAGCAAGCGGACAGACCAGAAGAATTACAACCTAGAAGAATATTTGACCAAAAACAATTAAAAACAGGCCCTCCGGCCCTACCAAATTTAAAAACCAGAGGATGCTTTGAAGTCCATGAGCTTCATCATTCCAAATTCCTCCATAATCATGCATTCTCATTGGCTCTCACCACCCAAAAACGCCCATCTGGGAGCATTCTGCTGCTTCTTCAATCTTCTTCTATTCTGATGCTACATGTTTCTTCAGAGTCTAACTTCTTTAATGATTTGTCCATCATATAGACCAAGTACACATGAAGGAAGGATATATATAAAAAACAGAAGATGAACAAAGGCCTAAAGCCTTTTTATAACTACCATCATTTCTCCAAGTTAGACTTTCATAGGCATGTCGTTTAGGAAGTGGATGCCAGTGCTCCTTCCAAACCTTGCAACATGTCCAAAGTATGTCAGACGAAGCTTCAGAATCCTTGCCTCTTAGGAGCAGCCTAGTTTAACCCTCTTTAGGATGAACCTGTTAATTTTCTTAGCATTCCATGGTATATTCAATACTCTTCTCCAACACCACAGATCAAAGGCATCAATTCTCCTTCTATCCTCCCTAGTCATTATTTCTAGAATATATGATAATTTTAATGTTAATTTTTTAAATTACTGACATTTATTTTGTTGTGATTTGGCCTGAAATTCCCAAAACAAATTGATTTTCTTTTCAACCACTCATACAGAAATTGTTTTATAACGTTTTATACTTGCTCATTGGAGAGCTAGACAATGAATAAAGAGGACAAGAAAAGAATCGACACCTTTGAGTTGTGGTGTTGGAAAAGAGAATTGAACTTCCCATGGATAGCCAAGAGAATAAATAGATATGTCTTGAAAAGGGTGCAGCTGGAGTGCTCTTGGAAGCAAAAATGATGAGGCTTCACCTCACATAATTGAGCATGTTGCTAGGAGGGGCTATTCCCTGGAGAAAGACATGATGCCAAGAAGGGTAGAGGGTTAGTAAAGAAGAGGGACACCCTCAACCAGGTAAACTGACATCGTAACTGCCACAATGGGCTCTTGTGTGTCAGGAAGTATGAGGATGACACAGGATGGTATATGGTTCAGATCTTTTGTTCTTGGGGTCAATAGTGAGTTGTACTTGACTCAACAGCACCTTAACAACAACAGCAAGATAATATTCCCACTTTTCCCACTCACTCCCTATGAATCTCATTTTCATGAATCCTTCTCTCCTATCCATTCCTGCCTTCTTTGCTTCACTCTTGGGCAAATGCTGTTCTTTTAATCTTGTAAGATTGGTTATGCTAAAGAGTCTCCTGGTGTTACTGGTTATGTTATAGACTCTATAGTTTGCCTGGGAGTCTCAGAGTGAATTTTGTTTTAGGTTCAAAGGCCTCACAAAGGTCCACAGTCTTGAGGTCTCCACCAGTCTCTACTGGACCAGTAAATCTGGTATTCTTTTCAATTTTGTTCCACCTATTCCCCCACTCTATCCAGGGTCTACTGTGATACCTTTGAGAGTGATCAGCAGTGATGGCCAAGAAGCATCTAGTTCGTCCTGTTTCAGGAAGTTCATGAATCATGGGTGCTGAGGCGGGCTTGTTGCAGTAATCCTTGGGACTAACTGCTTTTAGGATTCTCTGTTTTTCTTCCCTCTTCTTTGTTCCAGGTAGAGACAGACCAATAGTTGCCCCTTGGATTCCAAGCTTGTTAGACCCCAGTTGCAATGCACCAATATAGGATGCAGTGCATTGCTGTGAAATATGGTATGCAATTGACCTTGCTCTCCCTCAAGACTATGGCCCAAGGCCCAGACCCAGAAACTCATTCCCTCAGGGTTCTGGAAGGATTAAGATGTTTGCATTGCTTTGCCTCCTGTTAGCTCTATTATACACATCGATATATTTATAGCATATACCAACATTCAAAGCCTCCAGGGGCTCCAAGGGAGAAGGATGGACAATCTCTTCCCATGTGCTTTACTGCTTCTGAAAACATGTTGGAGGGTAGCTATGCTGTCAGTTCCAACTCAATAGCACACATCAACAACAAGATGAATATAAAAATAGCAACTGTCAAAGCAATGTATGGACATTGGTCTAGTCTAATTGTTATAGGTTTATCTTACCTGTCTGCTAAATATCTCCTTGGTTTTGGTGGGTTTTTTTAAATTTCTTTATTATTTTGCATGTGTACCATCAAATCAGATCTGACTGGTACAGGAGGAGATTGCCCCTCCTTCTCCAGCAGAGCATCTGGTGGATTTGAACCGCATACCTCTGGGATTGCAGTGTGGCTTCTTGCACTAGGCCACCAGAGCTCCCTTTAAATATCTACTTATGTTTAAGGCCACCAGCTGCTCTGTGGGAGAAGGATGGACAATCTCTTCTCGTTCAATTAACTGTCTCTGAAAGTCCACTGGAGGGTCAGCTATGGGTCGGTTCTGATTTGTTGGTATACAACAACAATTTACATTTATTACTGCTTATATTGCAAGATTTCATTCATAATATAATGTTTAGTTTTGTTGACTGTATTTCTTGCCTACACTAATTCTTTTGAGAAATTGCCAAATTATTTTCCAAAGAAGCTATTGAACCATTTTACATTCCCACCAGAAATGTACAAGCTTTCCAATATCTCCACATCCCTGCCAACACTCATTTTTGTCTTCATTTTTATTTTATTGTAGCCATTCTAATATATGTGAATTAATACTTCATTGTGATTTATATTTGCAGCTCCCTGATGGTTAATAATGTTAATTTTTTTCAGTGTTTTACTGGCTTACTTGCATATTGTCATTGGAGAAACAGCAAATCCTTTTCAGCACTAGTGTTTATTATAACTCCAACAACTTAATTTCTCTTCCAGGAACCTTCACTAGAATCTCTAAAGGCTTTCTGTTGAGGCCTTTTAAAATATGCTACAACTCTTTTACTGATCACTTAAACAATTTTTTCTTAGTGTCTGCATTTTAAAATTAATTTAATGGAAGTTTACAAAGACTTAGGGTTTCCAATCATTCATTGTTGCACTTTTCTCCCTGCCCCCCATCCCCCTCCCATTCATTCTTCTCCTTGAAAAGTTAAAGAAAAACTCTTTCATTGTTATACAATCCCTCCTCACAAGTCCACTCCACTGTGCAGCCTTCATTCTTGGACTCCTGTCATGATAATAATACCCATTTATATATCCCTTTTAAACTGTCCTTTCCCTCATTAGTTTCAATGCAGTATACATCATTCCTCCCCTCCTTCTCTGCCTTCCTTCAACCCCGATGTCAGTCCCGTTTTACAACAGTGGCCCTATGCAATATTTGTCCTTTAGTTACTGAGATATTTCACTCAGCATAATGCCCTCCAGGGTCATCCATTTTGCATAAGATTTCATGAGTTCCTTATTTTTCAAGGCTGCTTAGTATTCCATTGTGTCTACCAGGGCTCCTGTATCCATCCGTTTGTTGATGGGCACTTGGGTTGTTTCTAGCTCTTTACTATTGCGAACAAAGCTGCAATAAACATGGGTGTACATAAACCATTTTTACATGGTATTGGAGCTCTGGTGGCCCAGTCCACAAGGTGTTGTGCTGCTGACCCAAAGGTGGCACCTCTCTGGTGGTCTGAATCCACCAGCGATTCTGTAGGAGAAAGAGGGGCAGACTCTTCTCATGCAATTTACAGCCTCAGAAAA